CCTAGCGGATACTCAATGAATTGCACCTTATTAAAAATATTTATTCTGTGTCTTTTATGCATTTTCTTCACTTTTAAATTATCCTGTGGGGCCTGATTGAACGGCCCGCGGACCGTATGTTTGACACCACTGCTTTACATAATCATCTCGCGGGCCGGATTAAAGTCCTTTGCGGGCCGGATCCGGCCCGCGGGCCGTACGTTTGACACCTCTGGCTTAAAGGAAACACTAAATGATGTCACACACATTCATACAATATATTTGACCATAGATGAGCAACTGATGGCCCGCAGGCGCAGGCGACACACTCGTTAAGCAGCCACTTAATTAACTTACAATAAAATAAATAAATAAATAAATAAATAAAACTACCTCATTAATATGACAACTTTAAGTGAGTTGATATTTGTGAAAAAATACATGACTTGTATTCTTACAGCTAAAGTTGGTTTGCTGTTAACCCATTTCGTGCCTCGAAATGTTAATTTTTATGCGTGGGAGCCCTGTCTGCTGGAATATTTTAAAAAACAAAAATCAAACAAAAAAAAAATAATAATCACATTACATGGTTAATTTCTGATTGTTCAAACATTCTTGAAGGCTGGATCTTTTATGACTTAACTGAGAAATGTATTTTGAAAAATGAAATATGTTGAGAGCACAATTTTTGCACATATGCACATTTGTCCGGATTTAAAATGCTGTTTTTGTCACAAGTTTTGTTTGGAAGTTTGTGGTCCAATGTAACCTGAATCAAAATGCATATTTTTCCCTTAATTGTACAAAGCGCAACACCAAACATGTCCAACATTAATGGTGTGTTCCCTGAAAACACTTGAAGATGGAGAAAGTACTCACCACGCACACTCAAGTTTGCTTTTGAAGCCCCTCTCAGTCGTGCGTTGTTGACAGTTCTGCTTCCGTCTCTTTCTGTCGTTTCACAGTCGGTAATGGACGCCTTAAATCACTTGTCCGGCCACCATTAAGGTGGGGCTCTTGTTTAGGTGTAGCACTGAATTGATGTTCTTTTGTTTTCACACAATTACAGTCGGTGGTTTCTTTTCAGTGGGCATTGCCAAGCAGTATTTCTTTGTCACGTTGCCTTCATGAAGTTGTAAGACATGAGTTAATTGAATCACTCTTAAATGAATAGATGGCAGCCAGTGGTTCGTGCGTCAACCTCACAGTGCAGAGGTATCAGGTTCAATTCCAGCTCCGGCCTCGCTGTGTGGAGTTTGCATGTTCTGCGCGGGCCTGCATGGGTTTTCTCCGGGTACTCCGGTTTCCTCTCACATTCCAGGGAGGTAGACAATCTGACGTTTGAGCTGCAGTGTGCCATGGATTGGAGCCAAACAAGTATTATCTAAAACTTGTATTGAAAATTAGATGACATTTCAAGTTTCTCAATTTGAAATTCTAAGATGTTACAAAACACGAGTGCTGGGAAGTAACAAAGTACAAATACTTTTTATCGATACTTGAATAACTTATTCCTTTCACTTCGTTGATTTCAAATTAGATAGATTTACTTTCTAATCATTACTATGTTGAAATAGATTTGTTGTCAAATCATATTTACTTTTTACTTGGGTACTGTACATTTCAGACTCTTGTACTTAAATACTGAAATTTAATCTGTAATTACAAGACCCCCCCCCCGACCACACACACACACACACACACACACACACACACACACACACACACACACACACACACACACAGACACACAGACACACACGTATCTGTTCTTCTTTCAGTACAGTGTGAGAACCTTCACCATCTCTAGTGCTGTAAAAGATAACATTCTGCACTATCCGTGTAAATTTCATGAATTCGGGCATGATGGTCTTTCCTGCCACTAGATAGTGCCAGAGTTGCATTAACAGAAAAAAAAAAAAACAACAACTGGAGTACCCTGTACAGTATTGCGTTCAGTTGATTTTGGCTTAAGAGTTATGAAATATTTAGGTTGAACTCGCTGTACATTCTTTCGTGGAATTATTTGTAACATGCAGTAGTATTAAACAGGTAGCTTCCATTGTGAAGCAAAAGAAAACAACGAGCAGCAACGCCAACTTCTAGATGCCATTGGCAGGACACAGCTAAAAATGTTGTTCTTCACAGTGCAGATTCATCAGCTTGCGAGCTACCAAGCGACGGCGAACGGTGAATGGCCAGAGAGAGCACCAGCTAGCGAGCGAAGGCGAACGGCGAGAGAGAGCACCAGCTAGCGAGCTACCGAGCTATGCTGAACGGCGAGAGTGAGCACCAGCTAGCAAGCTATTGAGCTATGGCGAACGGCGAGAGAGAGCACGAACCAGCGAGGGAGCCTCAGCGGCAGAAGCCAAACGACCTGCTGCAAGTCCAACCTGCTGCTAGCCAAACCATCCGCTGCTAGCCAGACCACCCGCTGCTCGACACATATCCCAACCACTCCCCACAGTCCAATATCCAGCTGAGAAACACCTTTGACATTCACAATCTCCGTGACTCCCCTCCTCTTGCTGGGGTGCCGACAACTTCTCCGCCATCCGCCACACAGTCCAAAATGAAACCCTGTCCTCAGATCCCTTCTTCAGAAAATCCCGTGCACCCATTTTCCTCCATTGCTGACCACCGCTCTATCCCTCAGTTCACTCCGGCCCCACAGCACACTGTCCCCGGTCTCCTCCCGCGCTCTTCTCCATCCACTTCACCACCACTGACTAAACCAACGCCAAGATCCACTCTCCATTCACCCACCCCTGCCTGCCCACTTGGCCCCTTTTTTTCTCCGACCATCCTGATTGTTGGCGATTCCATAACCTGAAACCTCTGGTTCTTCAACGCAACAACACACTGCTTCCCCGGAGCCACTGTTACCATCATACTCGCAAAACTCCCCAGCCTGCTTCATCCACTCCCACCATATGTCCATAGAATTGTTGCGTTGATACATCCCATCGGCAGTCAGAAATCACCAAAGGTCACTTCAACAAAGTTCTTCAGTTCCTCAACTCTACCGGGAAATCAATTTTCATGAGCAGCCCACTCTCTCCACACCGTGGCATGGGCATTTTCAGACGCCTTTTTAGCCTTCACACCTGGCTCCAAACTGCCTGCAAGACCGACAATGTGGGCTTCATTGACAATTTTAACATATTTTTGCGCCGTCCGTCCCTTTCAAAGGCGGACGGTTTTCACCCCAACAAGCTAGGCAGCAGAATACTGGCAGCCAATGTGCAGCATGCTGTTCACCACTCCACAAGTTGACTAGTCACAAATTGCACACCTGCACCTTCCCCTTCCTCCACTTGACCAACCCATAGCACTTCCGCCTGCCATAGTCCCATCTCGTCCTGCTGCCATCTACCCCATTCAATCCATCATCACAGCCAGACCCCCTCACGACTCCAATAACGAAAGAAAATATTTTAAAATGTCAAATCCAAATCCCCACCCACTCTCCCAATCTTCACTGTCTCCCACACATCACAAAATCCTCAAACTGGCTCTATTTAACACCCGCTCACTCAACAACAAAGCACTCGTCTTACACGAATTCATAACTGACAATAACCTGGACTTCTTTATCACCGAGACCTGGTACAAACACCTGGATTACTTCTCACTCAACCAAGCCACCCCACCTGGTTACACCTACATCGACAAGCCCCGCCTCACTAGCCGAGGTGGTGGGGTGGCCTCAGTCCATAAAACACAGTTTAAAATTAGCACTATATCCACCCACTGACCCACTGAGTCCTTTGAACATATCACCTTCAAATTCTCTGGTCTCCCCCCCTGGTCATTGCTGTCATTTACCGTCCCCCGAATTTCAACCCATCATTTTTCTCAGACTTCTCCGATTTTGTCACACAGCTCTCACCTATCTCACCCTTCACTCTGCTCCTTGGCGACTTTAACTTCCACATCGACAACACCAACTGCAAACATGCCTCTGATTTCTTGACCTTTTGGACTGCCATCACTTTACTCAACATGTCAACTTCCCCACCCACACCCATGGCCACACTCTGGACTTGGTCTGTTCTACTGGTCTCAACATCGAAAAACTCTCAAGCACCAACCTCATCATCTCTGATCACCTGGCTATCACTCTGGACCTCTGCACTGTATCATTCAGAAACCTCAACTCCATCTCCCCAACTGACGTTTCTACCTCCGTCCTAACCACCTGTCCATATTACACTTTCTCATGACCCCACTGTTCTCACCAACTACTACAACAGCACTCTCTCCTGTCTCAATTAACTCACCCCCATCAAAACCAAATCTGTCTCCTTCACTCGCTCAGCCCCCTGGTAAACCCCGGAACTCCGCAAACTTAAAACCCAAAAACGCCAGCTCGAATGACTCTATAAAAAATCTGGTTTAACTGATCATCTCCTCGCCTACACCTTCAGTTATGCAAGACCGCACTCAACTCCAGCCATTCCGCCTACTACTCCAACCTCATCCACACTGACTCCAGCAATCAAAAGGCTCTCTTCTCTACCGTGAACAAACTCTCAAACCCAGCGACAATATTTCAACCTCTTTTACCATCGACAAATGCAATTCATTCCGATCCTACTTTCAATCCAAAATCAACATCCTCTATAGTTCACTCACCACCTCACCACCTCCCCCTCCCTTCTTACCTGCATCCATCACTCCAACTACTCCACCTCTCTCCAAATTCACACCTGTCTCCATAGCTGAACTCACCAACATAATCTCAGCAATGAATTCATCCACCAGCCTTCGTAGCTCTCTCCACTTTAGATGTGTCAGAGATTTTCTCGGACAAAGTTAAAGAAATGACTCGGCACACAGGAAAATTGTCTTCAATATCGGCGGGAGGGGGATCTCTGAGAGCGAACGACGGTAGTTGCTCCGATGATCACAATCTCGAGCTCCCTCCCCGCCAATTCCGACTTTTACTGTAACATACAAGGAAAACACTGCCCCCGACATTTGCATACCGCACCCCCGGTCCGGCCCCTCGGTGGTGATTGGTTACCTGTTTTTTAAACTTGAACCACCAGTACGTTGGCGCCTTTTCTGTCTGGTCTACATCGAATTAACATGTTGCAGACTTTGCGGATGGCCAATGTCGCCTGGGCGCGACGGGTGTTCTCAACTCGTCTTTTGTTGTTCAACCGCTGTTCCCAAATTATTCATTCCCCTTTTGTGACCGAGTTTCGCCCTCTCCCCTGTGATTGCCCACCTGCATTGACGTGCTAATTGTGGACTTCAACAGCCCTCCGGCCAGGTGGCCAGCGCCTATGTGCACAGGCATTTGGAGGTGCTGGATACGCACCCAAACGTTTAGATGTGCCCAAATTAAATGAAACTTTAAACATGATACAATTTTGCTCATAGATT